ATCATATGATTTTAAAATCACATAGTCACACCTGTGACTAATTTATTGTGTCTAAATACTGGCAGAAGATTCCGGCTTCATCAAGAATTGATGGTGAAAACACGCTCCATTTCAAACAAACGCGTGTAAAATCGCTTCTCCGTAAACACACTCATACAATGCCGTAAACTCAAACTCAAATATCTTTATTTCATTAAAAAATAGCAACAATCTCTGTTTTGTCAAACATTTAGTAACTAACTAACTAAATATATCCTATCAAAAATCTCTTATATGCCTGTGCCGATCTACAACCGCCCATTTATAAGAGGTTGAGCCTCATGAGAAGAAAGGGCAAACAAACTCATGGGCCATATGTTTGAATTCATCAGCACAGGCCGCGCCGCCCAACGCAACGCGCAACGCCCCGCGTTTCCGTAAATGAGTCCTTATCCAATTTTATTCATAAACTAACTGAGACCCGCGGTGTTACCCGCGTTTGTTGTTATAACCGCGGAAAAAGGCCGCGGGGCGAAGCTAGTCAAAAAAAAGTAGCCTAAGTTACTCCTTATGTCATCAGCTATCTGTCAGTGAAAGTCCCATCGAAATCGGTCCAGCCGTTCCAGAGATTACCCGGAACAAACAGACAGACAGACAGATAGACAGACAAAAATTGTAAAATATGTTATTTTGGCATAAGTACCGTGTAAACATACATATGCATTTAGTAAAAAGCGGTTATTTTAATATTACAAAAAGACACTCCAATTTTATTTATTTGTATAGATAGCTGACCCGCGCTACTTTGTCTGCGTCTCTCAAAAGGAAAATTTTGCCCCGTTTTGGCAACATTTTTCAATGATGCCCATGCTATTGGTCGTAGCGTGATGTTATGGCAATTAGAACCAATAGTTCCTGAGAACTAAGAACTGAGAAACAAACCAACTCTTCAGCTTTATAATATTAATATAGAGGTGTTGTGATTATTATGTAATGTATTTTATGCAGTATCGTAACATTTTGGAATACATATAAATCATTAATAACACATCTTACCTGCCTATTAACGATTAGTGCCGACAATGGATGCACCGGTCTTATCGATACTTCTTAAGGGTTGGGTTCTTCTATTACTAGCAAGGGAAGTCCTAGACTTGCTGGCTGAAATAATAAATATGATGATGATAATGATGCATCTTCCTAAAATAAAATGAAATAACGCCTATAAAATGTCACTAAGCAGAAGTTTAGTTCATTCAATTATCAGGCGCTAATTATTATGGTTTTGTATCTTGTTTTTTTTAAATTACATCGAAAAGTAACAACAGTCACTTTGGTGTTGAGTGAATACCGGTACTTGTACTAGAACATCAGTGGAATAGAGGCGACATCACCGATAGGCGCTTGGCCCATATCGGCACTCCGTAGAGGGCGTTGGATCGTATCACCGCACTATAGAGGTGGCGAACTTCATCCCTGCTGCTGCCACCCCACGAACTCGGGGGATCATCCGCTCGAAATGCTCCTCGAAGCTTCAGCGGCTGTCTAGGGTGAGGCCAAGGTATTTAATGTGTTGGCCAACCTCGACTTCTGTTCCCCCCACTCGAATAAGTGCGTTTCCTGTAGAACCACAAGGCTTCTGTCTTATGAGGTGCAACCCTTAGTCCCACACCGCTGATGTTTTGGACGACACAAGCCACCCCTATCTCGGCGAGCTCAAGAACATCCTGGAAGCCATACCCCCTAGCCACTAATAGAGTACGCTCAATCCTGGGGGAAAGCTGGTCCTCAGAACGGCATCTTACGCGAGGTTCCACAGAGGGGGTCCTAAGATCGACTCCGGGGGAACCCCGGATGTGACTTCCCTTCGACAATCTTCGCCGTCCCAACCCATATGGATCTGTCGCGGAGATAGACCTCGATGATCAGTGCCTCCTTAATCACCCACCATGGGAGAGAGTTAAAAGCGTTGACTATGTCAAGACTGACGGCTTGATAAGTCGGGTCCACTCGCGACAGTTGCTGGTTGATACATAAAAGGGTTTCACCATCTTCATCCTCCGATATGTCTGCTGGACAGCAGGCATATCGGTCGGAACGACGAAGGAGAATCTGCCCTGCCAGGTTTCTGGAACCAGCCTGGCTTCCTTCCAACCGGAAGGGAATACGCTATTACGGGGCAGCTGGTAAACAGCCACCTCAGCCTATTCCCTAAGACCGCCAAAGCGCCTTGCTCAGGGCGCGGGGCGGTGTTGCGGGCGGCGAGTAGCTTCATGGCTTGGTCCAGCTCTATCTCCGTCACTATCGCCTGTGTCTCCGCGGTACCTGTGCAGACATATAATAAACGCTCGAGCAGAAAGAGTTTAAAATTAGGATTTCAAAACTAAGTAAACAGCGCAACTGTGCTCTAATACTCTTTCAATTGAAAGAGCGATCGAGCAGAATCAGAAGTGTCCGTACAATCTCTTGGAAGAAGCCACCTGACAAAGTTGACGACAGCAAGTGGAGAAGTCGTCGCTTCGAAGCCGGCAGTCCTTTTGGAAGTGGCAAGCTTCTATGGCCGGTCTTCGCATGCATCTCGACTTGATCCCTAAAATGAGGACTCCAGAGCCACATAAGCACGTCACTACACCGAAGACCTGCCAGAAGTCAGCACTGACGAAATCGAGAAGGCTCTGGAAGAGCTGAAAAATTTAAAGGCCCCTAGAGAGGAAGGTGTTACAACAGAGCTGCTAAAGGCCGAAGGTAAACCCGTAATAAGGGAGCTCCAAAAGCTCTTCAACGCTGTCCTGTTTGAATGGAGAACTCCCGAAGCGTGGAGTAGGAGTATGGTCGTCTTGTTCTTCGAAAAGGGTGACAAGACCATGTTGAAGAACTATCGACCTATATCCCTTCTAAGTCATGTCTACAAGCTGTTTTCGAGAGTCATCACGAACCGTCTTGCGCGAAGACTCGACGAATTCCAACCACCGGAGCAAGCTGGGTTTCGGAGCGGATATGGCACCATAGACCACATCCGCACAGTGTGGCCGACTATTTGGTATTGGTATTGGTTGTGGGCTTCGGTTTCCGCATTTAGACTCAGAGTGGTCCTTTATGCGTCGAGGATTGGTTGACTAGGTGAGCCAGCCAAGCTCCTTCCAGAAGCGCAGAAGTCTCCTGGGGCGTTCACAGGCTTCTAGGAGCGACTTTATATCAGGAATGATACTTGCCCGTTGTGTGGCCACTCCCTCGCATTCCAGGACTACGTGGACGGCCGTTTCTTCAGCTTCCAGACATCCCCTGCACAGGGGACTGTCCGTCGCATTGATTATGAATAGTTGTCGGTTCAGGGCTAGATGTCCTGTAATAGTTCCGACAACCATTCTGATTTCCGGTCTGCTAAGATTGATCAGTCTGCAGGTGAGTCGTGGTGTGACTTGATTCAGCACCAGTTTGGACTGTCTGCAGCCGGGTGAGTTTTTCCACCTCCGGTTGTGTGGCTGACTATACAGAATACCGAAGAATCTAATCAGGTCCGTGTCTAGCATTCGTGGTCTGTTCTGAAGTCCCTGCAGCGTAGCCAAGTAGATTGGCGATATATCCAAGTGATGAAATGTCTCTACGAAGCCTTGTACTTGGACGGAGTCCAAGTATAGAGTCAGTAAACAAGGCCCATACCGGTGCATCGAGGACTGAGGCAAGGGGACGTTATTTCCCCGAATTTGTTCACAAATGCAATGGAGGGCATGTTCAAGACACTGCACTGGAAAGGGCGTGGCATCAATATCAATGGCGAATTTATCTTTCACTTGCGATTTGCGGACGACATCGTCATCATGGCAGGGACGCTGCAGGACCTTCAACAGATACTGAATGACCTAGCTGACTCTTCTGTAAGCATCGGGCTACGGATGAACTTGAATAAAACCAAGGTCATGTTGAACGAACATGTACTACCGGAACCGATGGGGGTACACGGTGCCGTTCTCGAAGTTGTTCAAAATTATGTGTACCTCGGGAAGACATTGCAGTTAGGTAGAAACAACTTCGAGGACGAAGTGAACAGAAGATTTCAGTTGGGTTGGGCAGCGTTTGTGAAGCTACGTCGAGTCTTCTCATCGTCGATCCCACAGTGCCTTAAGACAAAAGTCTTCAATGAGTGCGTCCTACCCGTCATAATATACGAAGCCGTTCAACGTTCTATGGAAATAGCCCTTTCCACAGCACGTTGAGCGACGAGCGAGCTCGGCGTTTCTCTAAGGGTTCGTATCAGGAATGAGGTGATTTGGCAGAGAACCAAGGTCATCCTACCGGATGAGCCAGCTGAAGTGGCAGTGGGCTGGCCATATTAGCCGCAGAACCGACAACCGTTGGGGAAAACGACGCCCACGGGCCAGGTGGAGTGACGAGTTGAGCAAGATGGCTGGCAGGAGCTGGATGCGAGAAGCCCAAAATCGATCTTAGTGGCTTGCAATGGGAAAGGTCTATGTCCAGCAGTGGACTTCGATAGACTGATGATGATGGTGACATAATTGCAACCTGTCCCGTCGTCACAGGGCCATGGTTAAAGTTCAAATAAAGAAGGCATTGAAAGGCAGTTAAGTATGTTGGGACATTTTCTATCGTTTTTGTGGTGCAAATTACTCAACGGATGTAAGACATAATTGTGAAAACAATTATTTAATGTTATAATCTAATATTATTTTACATTTCTTTTTATACCTATAGTAATGTAATGAAATACACTGCACTGTAATAAAGTCAACTGCCCTGTAGTACGAGCTTCAATCCTATAAACATATTCCTCGAAGGTGAATGTTTTACGACACTTCAGTTTTCGCTGGAGTCATTCATTAGTGTGTTGATATTTAGAAGAATAGCGAATTTGCTTTAGCCTGCGCATGCGGGGAGGGTAGGTGAGGAGGCGGGGTTATTCGCTGTTTCAGCCGGCTTCGCTGCCTGCTCGTGCTCGTAAAATTCAGTCTTGCTTGTGACATGAAAGGGCGCGATCCTTCACACGTATCACGGTGCTTCGAGCAATGCATCACCATGAACAGCCGCCACGGAATGCATGTAACGGTAAGTGTTTAACACAATTTTGGAGTTTCGATTAAAGAGCAAACTTTTTCGCCCTCTATCATAGTACTAGTCGTTCTCTTTAGATTAGGTGTTATCCTTAAATTCCTATTAAATGTTTCTTAAGCATTTCTTGTTATTAGTGTTCAACGATATTCCAGTGCTTGATATTTATTAACATCGTACAAGAAATATGGTATTTATATTTTATAAAAGTATAATTGGAGTTTAATTAAAAATTAAAAGTAAACAGACTTAGGAAACTGTTATTTAACCTGTATATATTTATAATCTAACAGGCAAAGGCTGTTTAGGACACGGTGTTAATCTTCTAAATATGAATAAAATCAAGGAACTTAGTTACCTACTCGTATATTAATTTTATCAAACATGTTTGTTATTTTTTTAATAAATACGATGAGCTGTAGGGATCAGTGGTTGTTTTTTTTAAGTTAGGGAATAGTTTAATGACAACTTGAAAAATTGATCAATTCATTCATGCTTGAATGGACTAAAGGTGAAGGAATGGTTTCGGTGAAGGTCAACGCTAACCACAAATTTATTGTTTTATTAGTTATCTAGATTATATTGGGTGATGCCCTATCTCCTCAAGTTCAAAGTTCCAAAATGATTTTTCATATATTCATTTCCACAATTCACAAATGGTTTGTGACTAAAGATAATTAAATATATCGTACTGTAAACATTAAAGTTTAATATATTTTTGTCTTTAATCAATGAACACCGAATTTCGATTCTATGCGATATTTATTTATTCCATTCTTCCCCTATCTTATCAGGTTTACCCTAATACAATAATGGACTTACTAAAAACGGTTAGTTTATGAAAAATACCTATTATGTATTTAAACTAAATTGTAGCCTGTAATCTATAAGCATTTTAAATACTCGTATGTGTTATTAACGTGATTAAAAGATTAAAATAAAAAGTAAAGTTATTATAACTCACCCCTATGTTATTATGTTAGGAAATAAGTTTAAACCTACTTTTATACACATGCAATATGCTGTGCATGAGTTATTAAATAATAGTAAGCTACGGTAGGTACAATCAGCTTTTAAACTATCTTTTAAAATGAAATTTATAATATTTTTTTCATTACTGTCTTTTTTGTATTTCACATTGTTGTTTAAAGAGAAATAAGTGAAATGGATGACATCAAGTTTCACGGAATAGATGCTATGTGAAAAATTAAATTTAGTAACGTAACGGCTTTAAGCTGAGTTCAACAGTAACAATATTGCATCAGCTTTGTACGGACTCATCTGTGGTTGAGTGAACACGCCTCGCGTATGCTCCTAACCACAGAAAAACTTTGTTCTGTGGTCCTTACGTATAGGTGGCCGCTGGACCGCCCAATAGAAATCATCTTGACAATAGTTTTACACTAACAAGACAATTTAAATCAGTCTATTCTTTTAAATATACCTTTAAATGTATGAGTGAGTAGCTTTGCTCGAGTGACTATTTCTTATTTCTTACTTTGATGAATTGCCATACAACCGTTCCCCCTTTATTTTACCCCGTTTGGGATGAAATTTCCAAAACCCCTTTTTAGTGGGTGCCTACAACATAAAATTATAAGGTGCCAAGATTTCAAGTTTGTAGCCCCCCTTTTTTTTTTCTGTGTGGAAATCTCTTCGGATACCACCCACCGGTGGTTATGTCGGACACGAACCGACCAAAAACCGCACGCGGTCTCGGGTACCAGTTGCCGGGGAACCAGGTGTACCATAGGAAGGAAAACCCTGATACTCCGACGTACCTCGGGTCATCTACGGGCGTAAATGACCCCCTCCTGTGTGGGAACTCCTATGTCCCCTTTGTGCTCCCGAAAAGGGGCGCGCGCAGCGAAGAGCGTCTCGCCACTACCCCGGCCTGCTTCTGCTAGGGTGACAGATGGCCTCACCTACCACCCCCAGGCCTGCGCTTATGAAGGACGGAGGTCATTCTGCGACCTCCGGAGTTGGGATTTCTGATCCTCGATTTCTCGAGACTCAGGACAACGACCCAACTCCCGCGCCTCCTTGCGCCACTTATACATCACGGTCCCACGGGTGGAGTTCCGGCCAGGAGACTCGCCGCCTCAATGGAGATCGTGCGGTATGCCCTTATGACCCTGATGGCCAGCACTCGCTCCGGTCGTCGCAGTAGTGCGATGTTGCTGGCCTGTAGGGTCTCCGCCCATACTGGGGCCCCATAAAGGGCCATGGACCGAACAAGGCCTTGGATTTGTGCAGTGCCACTTCAAGTCCCAGCCGCCGGATCCGCTCCACGACTTGGGCAACCCCGGCCGTGGCTCTCAGGGTGCGCCTCACGGTGCGTTCTGCCACACGCCGTCACGAGCGTGTCATCCGCGTCGCACGTGACGGCGACACCATCTAGAAAGGCACCACGAAGAACCCAGTCGTAGCCTTTGTTCCACAAGAGTGGCCCTAATACCGACCCCTGTGGGACACCGCACGACATTTCACGTCTACCGAGACCGGTCCTACTTGGGTAGACGACGGCTCTCTCTGATAAATATGACCCGACTATGCGGCGGAGGTAGAGAGGCACTTCGTGATACACGAGCGCCTCCCTGATGCAACTCCAGGGCAAAGTGTTGAACGCATTGGCTATGTCCAAGGACACCGCCAACATCACTTCGCCCCGGGAAACCGCTTCTTTCGCCAGAAGTTTGTAGCCCCTGCGGTTAAGGCTCTGCGTTGTTGAATCAGTCAGTCAGGGTCAGTAATTTTATATGTACCTATAGATTTTACATGGAACTTACTGGCAATTCCTCGCAGTTTCACTTGAGTTTATAGTTATAGTACGTAGTTTATAGTCACGAAGCCTGAAACCTTCCTAACCTGTAGTCTACAAAATAAAAATGAATTAGAGATTGTCTCGTGTAAAAACGAAGATACGAAAATTGCGTTAGTTTATTAGATGTCCATTAAACCTGACCCATGTTGCTTTCGCAGAAATTCGCTTGGTATTTTCTATTAAACTTTTAAGTACTACGTCCAGAGAGGGCCCGTATTAAAATAGGTAAAGCTTTTTAGGACTCTTTGTCCTGTCTTACAAAGAGTTTACACATTCCTACATTTTTCTATAAACGTTTATATACACAAATGCTTACTACACATTAATAATGTTCTGTACACACTACTTTGTAAACAAATCAATGATAATAAAGACTGATTCCTTCAATGACATATACTAAGAGCTGACAAAATAAATTGACATCGTCTGTCGTAAGTATCGGCATACCTATTGTGGTCATTGCCCCAATTGCGCTGTTGTCATGTCCACGAGATGCTACAACTACAAAATAGGAATGGTGTCTACAAAGTAGAAATGGTTTGCTGCGTGTGGTTGTATTACCAAAAATATTAGGTTACATGCATAAAGTTACTTACACAACAAACACACATAAGTATGACAAGCTTTTCAGTTATTGGAAAGTTCTCTATGTAAAGAGTATGAATAAATAGGATGAATGTTTCATTATCATCCTTCAATTAAGTGATAAGTGATAAATTTCTTGGCAGTTGCATTTCGACAGTTTCATTTTCAAAGATCAAACCATCTGGACTACATTCTCGACCTGGAAATAACGAAAAGACCACACTGTTTACCAATCAAATTATTATTAATTTTAAAATCAATAATCGCATTAGCTTCATTCTCGCGGCCATACACGACATGAGGCAAATGACTGATGTCATTCTTACACCATAATTTGGTATTAATAAAATTTAACAAATTTGTACTTGAGTTTTTTTTTTCATTCTGATGCTGTTATCCTCAGTTGTCTTTCAGTTAGCCATGCAGAACTATTTTGTTCAACCTCGATTTCAATTGCTCCAAGTTCAATCGGAGTTAACTTCGTTACTAATTGCTCCACCTTTAGTTCTAAAATTAACTGTTCGTCTAGATAAATCAAAATCATCATATTTTATGATTAACAAAGTATTCCACATACAATTAATTTCCTTTTTACTTTGAACTATTTGAACAAATCTTGACGTGAACTGCTTTTTATCATAGTTATCATTTAAATATCGTATTTTTTTTGGCATAAAACTAATTATTGATTTCTTTAAAATTCTCTGATTCAGTTAAAATATTGTCTGGATTATTGCCGATTTTTTTGCCTTTCTTCCATTCTTCTAATATTGATGTGCATCTGAGTGCATCATAACCGTAACGTACAGTATAATCCTCAAGTTTATAAAGTAAAGCAACAATATGATAACAGTTCTTTGAAGAAGATACTGAACAGTGACATTGACTGGAGCATTTACAATTTTGCTACTATTCTTATCCAAAGCTATACTTCACAGTGACTTGAAAAGAAGACTGTACGTCTGCTCTTAAGTAATAGACAGAATCATTCGCATTATCTTCCATATTAGACACAAAGTCACTCAAACAATATTGACATCCTCTTTGAAGTGCCTTCGAGTTTACACATCGCTGTTCATCATCGTCAGATAAAGTAGCATTCAAATCTAAAGTATCAATAGGACCGGTAGTGATACATGATACATGATACAAGAACGAGGGATGGCTTGTAATGGAAAATTTGCCCATTTTGTAGTAGGAAAAGTGCAGGATGTTGAACTTGGTAGAGTTGGATTGAGTAATTTCATGCGTTGCTGTTTATTCACTAGACATTTACCACCAATTTTTTTATGTTTTTATTATAATCATTTGCAATGCATTCTTTGATTCTTAAATATACAAAAAAAAACTACAAAATTTATTTAAAATATGAAGGTGAAAATATGAGAATGTTCTTACTATTTGGACAGCCATTCGAAACAAAATAATAGCGTCGAACTTAATGAGAACATGTTGTTTTTTGTCTATGTTCTCGACGTATGTTCTCAAAACAATAATTGTAAAAGTTTCGAGATACTATTTATTTTGCCTATTTAATAGCTATTTAATGTTTTATTTAAAATAATAGTAGTTTGTTAATGATAAACAG